ATAAAAGCTTTCGTAAATAATTGGTCATTGGTCAACAGAGGAGTAAAAGAGTGATTCAGTTGGTTAACCTCTCAGTGCGGAATTTAATAAGATCCTGGTGGATATCAAACATATACATGATCGGCCCAATGTCATTCGGGACTCTGCCTTCCTAAACCTTTGCTGGCTGGGATAAAACATCAACTAAGGCTGGAGTCCAGAATGAGGTTGACCCGGTTATGATAGAATTTTAACGCGCGGTGACAAGGTTTAGAGTGTGTTATAGAAATTTGAACGTCCTTGATTTCTAATGGATTTTATAAGAAAAATGACACTGAATGTAGATATTGATTTATAAATGCGTCAATAGTAGGGGCACTCAGGACAGCCACGAAATCAGATATTGAAAATATGTAACACCAACGTTCTAACTTTTCTTGGATCCATAAAAAGAACGAAGATAATTATAATTCAATTTATGTGTACAATTTTTTTCAACTTTATTTTAACTTCATGTTGTGCAAGTTTGTTAGAATTTTGATCAGAAATACGGAGATCATAAAAAAAAATTAAGCGCGGTAGAGAAATCTGCTAACAGCGACAAAATGGATTTTGACGTCAAGGCGGAGCTGTGAGCACACTCAAAATTTTGTGTAGCACTTTATAGAACTGTTTTCAGACTGAATTACATGCTAAAACAATAACAACGAGAACAAATAATATGTAAGGGTTTGTTATTGCATTGAAATACATTTTTTCTTACCAATGAATTCAAAAGCTTCGGCCGACCATTATTTATTACGTACGATTTTAATATCGTTGACCCGCATTGCAAAAACCGGCACTGCATGAAGCTAAGTCATCATTACCCACAAATAAAAAAAATTTAAAGAATATTTAAGAAAAGAAAGAGTACAGTAAACGCTCCCCGATCGTTTCACATGCGAAACCATTTCCGGCTGACGTGACGTTAGATGACGTAGCGATGCTGCTCCAGGTCGATAGACATATATGCGTGTTTATAATTTCACCGGAACTTATCTAATTATCAAAGGAATTAGAAATTTTGCATAACTGATGTTTATAAAATATTTATGAATTTTCATGAAGTTATCTGTGTCCTTTATGGAGTAAAGGTAAATGTCTCAATAAGTTCGGAACAACCCTCGTACTACAATAAATTTAAGTACTTCAGGATTATGTCTTGAACATGAAAAAGAAACGGAATGTATCGGAAGAAAAGAAAAAGCAGTTGATAATGGGAGAATGTTAGGGTACGCACATAAAATATAATAAGGAGGCCACACAGTTACTATCGTCAGGTGTTGCTACAAACAGCATAAAATAATGGTATTTTTAAAAAGGTGCACGAACAACCAATTATTATTTACCTAGCCAGTGGCAGGTCGTTCGGTTCGTGATCGGTAGACCACGATTCGATTTTTATTTACTACGCCATGTCAAACCTAATATTAGATAAAAGCATAACTAATTGCTGTTTCTTTGCTTTAACAGCTCAACAATAGAAGTAAAAGTCTTAGTTCTTAATTACGCATGTGACCTAAGAAAACCTAGGTCCCGTATCACAGCGTTGTTGACACAATAACGAACGCACACTGTAAAAATGACTCTGAGTGTCCAGTATACTACTAAATATGAATGAATACTGTGAAGTTTCTATAAAGCTAATGCTCTAGAATATTCTGTACATATAACTTGCACAAAGTTTGATCTACCTTGAAATATATTTTATTGAAAAGGACAAAAAACCTAGGCCCCTCGAGACACTTTGGTAAGATTAGGTGCCTAGGAGGAGTTTGGAAGAAAGATGTAGAGTTTTCAAATGATCGATATAATTTGTAATATCATAAGTAGGATATTATAAAGATGTTTAGGAGCCGTTTAGAAGAAAAGATAAAATTTGACCCACAAGAGGTAGGTAGTCATAACAAAAACGTACTATAACTGACTATCATTTACGATATACATATAATTAATTTCTGCAGATTTCTTATTTTTCGCGAGTACCTTCTCTAGCGAAATGACTCTTTAGAGTCAAATCAAGAGAACAATATTTCGCAAATGGACGCTTGATCAAGAAAATTAACATAGATTTCGACACCATAAAAATAAAATCGAGTAATTTTATTTTTGATGCTTCTCGCGTTATTAATCTACAGAAATGTATAATAAATCAAAACTTCACTATAGTAAATCAAAGCATATTTACTATGAATTCCATAACATTATTACTCTTAATTTTCAAAAAAAAGTTCTAGAGTGAATAATTATGAGAATAAAGAATTAAAGACCGGTTTCATTTATTAATGTCATCTTTTGTTTAGAAAATAAAGGGAATTAGATCAGCTTATGAAGCCTCCATTGTAATATATATAACGTTAGAAATATTTCATTGATTATAATTCCTTTGTTTCATAAAAATCTTCCTGACAAAATTACCAGCATCTAGTCTAAATCAATATTCCTGTGTTATTTATGGCCATGTTTGAGAGTTTCTTTTCAAATTGTTTTAACAATACCTATGAACTACATGCATGTTGAATATACACGAATAAAAGAATCTGTTTCCATGTTATTTTGCTAAACACTTTTAAGAATACTACAGACGGACCACTGTCACTAATTAGGGATGAAATCCATTACATCTGGGACCAGGGGATTTATGTCTCAGTGTTCTTTTCTGGGTATATAGACAATTCAAACATAGACTGTTCACCGTTGATAATATATTGCTTCAATACATTCTGTTCATCTGGACTGTTGATAGCTATGGTGGCAGGAATCCATGACTTATTGCGACCTTTACCTAAGGATATGTCTGCCTTAAAAACGCATTTTTAATTATAATATTTATGATAATGGACTTGTGTTGAGGCATCAAATATAAAATGAGAAATAATTGTCGAATGCAGATAATTTTGCACAGAAGTCGACATAATGTGGATCCAATGTATTTTAATCATTATTCTTATCCACAAAACATCTCTGAATTTGTTAACTACAAAAGACGTTACACAGGAATGTGACAATAAACTTATAGGTAAGTCATGTACATGTATTACATTTACTAATATTAATGTTTACATATCTTCATAATCAAATATAATCAAATTCATAAATTTGGAAACATGTAATCATATTTTATCATTTGTAGATCATATAAAATAGAGAGAAAAAACAGTGTGTTTCGTAATGTCGTTGCTGTGCGTAACGTTTTCTAATTTGAAGGACTCTTAAGCAAATGTAAATGAAATAAAATGTTATTACATTGTTTCAATAAACAATGAATATGAACATGATGTTCTAAATCAGTCGATAGATCAATGTGAGGGGAAGAGAAAACATAGAGAATTCAATTTGCTTGCACAATTTATGAACCGAATCTTAAGCTTCCTTCCTTTTTTTCGTATTTCCGATTGTTTATTGTTCAATTTCCTTCATGTTGTCGAAAACTGAATGAAGAAACCATCAGTATAAAATATTTAATTTTCGCTAGAAAAATTATTTTTTTGACAATTGTATATAAAATATAAATTATTTTTCTTTCCATAATTATGATTATTTACATTTGTTTCTCCTTATATAAAATTTAAAAATATCAAATATTATTAAATATTATATTTGCTGTATTGTCTTAAAAAGCAGCTGTAAAATTGAAATTTTGTGTATACTCATGCGACGTCATATACTAGGAAAAACCCGGGCTAAAATGACGTCACAAAGAAGCTACAGAAAAAACCATTAAAAACAATATAACAATAAGCCTATACGTATATAGGGCAGGGAGAAATTCAAACATTGATCCTTTTATGGTGTTTTTAAACATTTAAAATAAAGATATAATGATTTTATGTTAAATGTAAGTCATTGACTTGCACAAAGTCATATTTCTCATGAAACGTTAGCGAAAGCGTAATTTAAATTTTTATGTCGATTTATAAGATATATCCCGCTGAGCTATAGAGATAAAAGGTACAAAGAGTCTGACACGTCTGTCATATATTTGGATATTTTACTTGAAAAGACGTTAATGCTAATATAACAAGCAAGATAAATGTGATTACTTTAACTTTTCTATCGTCAGCCTTCCTTACTTTTGCAGCAATATACCTTTATCACCTGCATACGGGGTTTATATCTCTCAGTTGTTTCTAAAACGAGGTAAATTATTGACAAACAATTTGGTGAAACAAGAATATCAGCAGTCTCGTTTAACGTAATCATTTCGTAAGTTCAGTTGTCGATACAATGATCTTATCAGCAAATACAATTTGTTATTGAATCATTATCAAATGGTGACTGTCATTTTTCATACTGATTGTTAGGCCATTATTTATACACTGATTTTTTTCGTTATTTCCCGATCATGACAATTAAGGAGCACACGGCGGATGTGAACGGTCGACAGGGGATGATCATATTTCTCCATGCCACCTGATCCTACCTCACATGTTTTAGAGCTCCGTGTTTTCTCTGCTCCTATTTTGTGTTGTTTAATGAACATTTGAGCTTGAGACCTTGAGTACTGTTTCTTATCTCCATGTATTTCATAAAACCTTTAGTAGGTTAATTCATTATGTCGTAAATGACATCAATATTTTCATATGATTGCCTAATTATTCCGAATCTATTGTATGATTACTTTTTTCAGGTATATTAATAAACCAAGAAGTTTCGGTGAGTTTTCAAACTGAGAAAACAAATAATTACATCTTGTATAAAACAGATTTTTCTGAACCATATCGACTTCTTCAAAAAGGTAATGAGTAATGCTCCTGTTTTTACTGGTTAATATTTTTTAAAGGTATTGAAATTTTATTGTTGTTAAAAAGTTGCTGAAATATTTAGCTAAAATGTCACAAAATAATATGCTAAAAATATGTTTTTCCTTCAGCCCTAGAAATTAAAGAAAGTGGTTTGGATGTAATATTTGTTCCATCGTATGCATCAAAGCTAATTCGCGTCATCACCGAACATTTTGTAAACATAACCGAAACAACCGGAAGGAACCAAAGTATTGTTTTCGCAGAGATAGGAAATTTTGTTGATGTTCAAACAGCAGCTAAAATGACGTTCGCTATCTTTGCCGAACTTCATTGGCATCTTTCGATCATTTTCTTCGACTCTTCATACGGTGAGAAGCTTTAGGCATACAGTTAGAAGAAATAACGAGAATTTTTATTGAAGAACTGACCCGTGTATAACATTATTCTCTTTTAACATTTTCAATAATTGTTACATTCTTTGTCTGAATAATTGAATAATGAATAATGAAAAAATTCTCGTTCAGTGGTTCATAATTACTTCTAAAGGTTTTAATTTAATCGATATAAACCTTTAATTTCAGCATTTCTTTTGGATGAATTCACTGCAAACACAAACAAAGAATCACATGTGCAGCAGTTATACAACATTGATGACTTCTCTAACGCTGATGATCTAATGGCGCTATTGAGAAATCTATATTCCGAATTAGCAGAAATTCATATTAATTTTACTGTTCTATGTAACCATAAAAATACAAGAAGGCTTCTAGAAAAGGTAAACAAGGGAACGAAAGATGAGAGTAAAATATATATCATACATATATGTACATATGTAACAGCTGAAAGAGTTTCTACCTTAACATTCTTACGAGAAATCAATGTATCATCATATACCTGCATTTTTATTTAGGTATTTTTTAAGCTGTAACAGTCGGGTCAGGGGAAGTAGTAGATAATTTTTCTATCTTCTCTCAGAGTTATTTCCCTCGGCCGCCATGTTGATGGTCAACTTGGAAAATTTTTCTCTTTGTCCTTCCAGGTGTGGCCTTTAGGGTGTGGCAGAAATATTTGGGTGGTGGGGTTTTGGAGTCGTTATGGATTAAAAATTATGAAATAAAGGAGGCTTTATCAAATTATATTGCACAGAAAATCAATTAATGCTTCCTACATCATGATGTTCAGTATAAAATCTTCAGGTTATTTGAATAATGAAAGAATATGACCCTCAATATGACGGCCAATGTTAACGGGAAAAACTCTACCTCATTTAGGCCAACTGAAAACTATCTGCAGACAGTCTAAGTCTGAAGACCCCAGCAGTCAATGTCAAGGTTGTTTTTAGGCAAGCGACTTTGACCAGACCAAAGAGAATTTTCGCCACACTGCTCTGCGAGATCATTCTTCCTGGCTGGTGGTGACTATTTCAAGGAATCGGAACGAAGACCTAGGCACTAACAACTCGCTGCTCGATAATGTACTTTTACTTAATCTTTGGCAGGAGGAAGAAATGATCAATATTCAGGTAACATATGTTTAAGTTAAAATGTGTGTATTCCACTTTTTTTATTAGCACAAAAAGTTATCATCTTTTACCCATAACTTGTGAAATGCTGCAAAAATGAATCTGTACTGTTTTAAAACTCTGTTATAGAACTGCAGCAAGGATGGGGGCGAAGAGATGTATTACATACATACACTAATGTGGAAATCAGAAGGGCAGTGTTCTCCTCAGTGCAATCTATATAGACAATTTGAAGTAATTGGCTGTATGCATCCCAATGGGCATCTTTATACAGTTTCTCCGTTCTTTCCTAATTCTGATTTTGGATTTAATAAACGACATATGTTGGTGACAACCAAATGGGTAAACTACAGATCTTCTGTTTAAAAGCACACCTGAATAAAGAAATACAGACGAAATTTATTAATTAAAGAAAAGATATTTTGTTTCTATTTTAATGTTATTTCAGTGGCCACCATTTACGGAGAGAATACAAGAAAATGGAAAAACGACTGACTACTTTGGGTTTTGTATGGACCTTCTCCAAGAAATGGGAAAATCTCTCAATTTTACGTAAGTTGATTTAATTCTCCAATCAATTCAATTAAAATGTCGAAATGTTTATTCATGTGACCGGTCAGAGGGGATGCTCACTCATCCATGGCACCTGATCCCATGTCTCATGTTAAAGACGTCCGTGTTTGCACTGCTCCTAATTTGTATTGTTTAATGGACTTTTGAGCTTGAATACTCTTCGTTATCGCCATATACATGTATTTCAATTATATGAAAATTAATTTCTTTGATCAAGATACACAGTGACAGAACCCGTAGATGATGAATTCGGCCGAATTCTGGACAATGAGTCATGGAGCGGCATGATTGGTCAGTTGGAGAGACGGGTAAATTGCTACCGACTTTTTCAATAAGGTTTTATTATACATTGAAGTAAAGGCTAATTACGTTATGAGAAAAATTTTAATTATTAGACCCCACACATGCCAATTAATATATTATATTTATACATTGTATCATCATAGTTACAAAATATTCATATAAGTCTGACGTACGTAACTCCTACCATTTTGATTTTTCCCACCAATTGGAGGTATTACTCTCACGTGTTATTTTCATATTTACGGTGTGTCATCTCTATAGATGTGAGAAAAAGATACAGATATAATTTATTTTTACCTGGTGCATAAACAGTTTCCATTATGTAACGCTTTGTACCAAAATAACATAATGGAAAAAAATCGTTAAAAAATACTCAATATCCATTGCTAAAATTATCATAAAAATGAAATTTTAATTAAAAATATACGTATTATAACTTTTCCCTTCAACCCTTTGCTCCCCATCCTAACCTTCGTATACAATTCAGCGTTGGTCGAAAAAGGAAAGCAACAGAAATTGATCTTATCGTTGACTCTCTCTCTCTCTCTCTCTCTCTCTCTCTCTCTCTCTCTCTCTCTCTTATGTTAAGGCTCAGATCTATGATGTAAAATAGTTTTTAAACGTCGTTTATTGCAGATAAAATGTTTCATAGAGTATGATTAATGTATTTCAAACGAAAATATATAAAATTTCCAATAAAATAAATCATCTGTCAGTGACAAAGTTATCTAAACGACCCAATAACACATTGCGCTAGAGAAATGTAAATAATAAATTTTTATGTGCCCGGATCGATAAAACGGGGATGCATATTGTTTTGTCCTGTCTGTCTGTTTGTATGTTTATTTGTTTGTCTTTCTATTGTCAACTTTAACCTTCGCCATGACTTTTGAACCATAGGAGATAGAGACTTCATATTTGGTATGCATACTCCACTAATTACGTTCTTTCAAAGGACACCAAGGTCAATTATCCTGTGACCTTGTCTGTGACCTATATACTAAAAAATAGTTTTTTTTCGAACTTTCGCCATAACTTTTGAACCATAGGAGATAGAGACTTCATATTTGGTATGCATACTCCAATAATTAGGTTCTTTCAAAGAACACCAAGGTCAATTATCTTGTATCCTTGACTGTGCTAAAGATAGCTTTTTTGAACTTTGTTGTCACCGGGCGCATCGTGTTTCACAAACACATCTTGTTACATTTACTTTTAATTACTTGTAAACAAATCTTTGCAAAACTGTCACAAAAAATGTTTGCTATCATGTAAAATGTACTACTTTGCTGGCAATTTCGGTAAGTTGATTTGCAATAGTTTAGTTATAGGTAAGTATAAAAAAAATAACTAGGAAGAAAGCACTACAAATTTTCAAAGTTATGTTGTTATATAAAGTAGATTTTTCAGATTACACAGTAGTGTTACGCAGGATCGAGCACACATCTAATCCCACAAAGAAATACTAGTATATAAAATGGAAAGAGTACATGCTACGAATTCAATAATGAGAACAGAGAAATTAAATTTGATAAAATCTTTAAATGATTTGACAGGAAGTAGATTTGATGGTTGCCACTACCTCAGTCCGCCAAGACAGAGAGGAGGTGATGGACTTCACATTGCCTTTTTATTACGATACATCAACATTACTCATGAAAAAACCGGACCCTGATGAGAAAAAATTGTTGATCCTTGCAAAGCCTTTACGTTGGGAAGTAAGTCATTTAAAGTCAAGTCACAAGTCCGGTTTCTTACTTCATTGCCGATAATTTACGTTAGTATATAAACGTAAGAAATTAAGTGTCTTTAATTAGAATTTATGAATTTCTGATTTAAAAACAAAATTGTTTTTAAATCAGATTTTACCCAATCAAATGACGTGTTACAACTGAATTATATGTAGATAATACACTGCATATGTTCTTGAAATTGTCTAATGCTTTTTTTTTTGGACAAAAGAAGTTAAAAGTTAATACTGAATATTATGCTCACATTCATGATCTTCTTACATCAGTGTATAACTTTGAAAATTAAAAAAAGTCTTTTCTGAAAAGGGGAAAAGTTTATTCCTCTTCCGTCCGACTTTCTGTTTATCCTTTCAAATATTAAAGCTATATATGCCGTATTAGTGTTTTATTTTAAAAGTAATAAATATATGTGGTGTCTCGTCAAGTTATATAAGTTATATACTTTCTGCAAATAAGACAATTCCATATTTTATCACTTTTAAAAGTTATGAAATATTATTTGGTAAAAATTATTTTCTCTCCGTGTTTGATAAAAAACCGCCTCTTATTGAAATATTCATGATCACGTTGTCTCGCATGTTTACAGCAACAAATATTCTTCAAATCTGTGAATGAACCTTTAAGCATGGTAGATACTACGTTTTTACTACAAACACGTGAGTTAGGGATTGTCAATATTAAGAGCGGTTGCTTTTTGTACCGAGGAATAATCACGTGCAATTGTTTTTTCAATGGACATTTTCGGTTGGGTGAACTTCTACAGCTGTCAATATATGGATAAAGAAGTGTGGAAACCATGTTGTGCCAAAATGAAATAACCAATACAAAAAAAAATGATATAATTTGATCAATCAATATGGTTATTAGATACATTCGAAAGTGAAATTTGCAGTTTGGCAGTAAATTGTAGTGAATGAATAAAATTAAAGACATAAACACAATGTTCAACATCATTTTACTTGTCAGATTTCTGTCGAGCTAGTTGATTTTTAATTAAAACTATAACTGTATTCTTTATCCCCCATATAAAACAATTGTTTCTTAAAAAAAAGGTTCCGATGTATTTATTTGAATTAATTTTTTTTTGGTGTTCATCGAAATGCTTGGTTGTGCCCTCAAACTGGAATAGTTTTTAGTGAAAGAGTTTTAAATTCCTTGACCAATTTTATTTTATTATTTTTGACTATATTTCCAAGAAGGCAAGATGTATGGTATGTAAGTTTCATCTACATATGTAGTTCATATTAAAAAACCAAAAGGGATAATTGACAATATCCCATTCAGGGTGTAAACATAGCGGTTTAAATTACTTTCCATACATTGTACATTGACATAAAATATTTTTTCCGCATAATGCGTTCCATACTGAAGATCCGTAAATGTTCACCCAACCGAAAATGCCCACTAGCAGTACAGCACGGGGGAACTCTAAACAAACAGACCTGTACAATGGAGTGGGGAAAACTTTAATTTTCATTATTGTTAATCATTTGTATGCAAATATGAGCATGGGATTAGTTGATAATAATGTACATAATACATCAAGTCTTTCTGAGAGCGATTTAAAAAACTAGCCTTTTTGAAAAACACATGTAATATTTTATGTAGTAACCCATAAATGCAACTCATTGAGCTGATTGGTCTATTTGTGTCCCTCACTGAACAGACTTCACAAAAAAATATTTTCCTCGACCTGATGATTCTCGCGATGCTTTTCCCGCGCACATGCGCAGATCCAGGATAAACGTCAGTCCTTTATAAATATGCATGAGAATATCGTGTTCTTTTCCTGATCAGTACTTTGTTAATACCGAATAAAATTTCGTCGAATTTGCAAGAATACTTCATTTTTGGTAGCTTATCATACTCCAGAAATTTTTGTTCGGTTTCAGCTGTGCAAATATACTGTTTAACACGGCATACATATCTTTAACACCATGCAGTTGTTTGCAAACCGGTAAGGTAAAACAAAATAGGTTATGTCGTTGAACTTTAACAAATTATGAACCATTGGGCAAAGATAGACTAAATCCTGGGATGCCATTTTGTATAGTCCCAGTATTCTAGAAACAATATTCGAATTCTTCGCCACAAAAGAAAGGTCCTGTTTATATTTAATTTCAACATTTTACATGCAGTATTCAGGTTTCGGTTTTTCAGAAATTCACGTTGCAATGAATGGACAACAAGAAGTGGGTCAAAACATTTAAATTAGTTAAAATAAAGATCGAGGGAAGAAAATAATTTTATCCCGCTTCAGACAAATTTGTCGTTTACTGATTGGATAAAAGCTAATCACATGACGTCCTGAAATTTTCCGTATTACGTCTCCGTCAAGGAGTAATATGAAAATCGGGCACGCGATTCCGTTCGAAGCGTTGTTATTGTAAATAAAAATGGCTGCTAAGAAACGGTTGCGTAGATAGTTTAGTTAAATTTCTTGTTATATTTCTTGTAATATTTTATGTTGATTGTTGTTGGATTAAAACTTGATATTTTCATAATGTGCACATAGATTTTTTTTATATTTAAAAAGGTCTTCAGCGGGATAAATTCGAAACACAGTCAGTTAGGGACCTAATACGGAGTCATACAGGGTGTGGAATGGAAATCCATATTGTAGGATACGGATTTCCATTTCACACCCTTTATGACTCCGTATTAGGTCCCTAACTGACTTTGTTTCTAAAAGTATTTGCTTCTAAGGAAAAGCAACACAAGGTGACTGAGACGAACCTTGTGACCAATAGGGCTTGTATTTTCTGTAGGTGATGCTTTGCACGGGCGTGGTATTGGTTGTTTGTGGTTTATTTTTATGTATGACTGAGAATATTTCTCCCTTCTATATTATACACGGAAATAAAGGAAAACAGGATTTTCAGCATTCATTTTGGTACATGTTTGGTGCTTTACTTACACAAGGTAAATAAAACCTATTGCATCATTACCTAAAGAAGACTATATACAACGATTAGATTTCACAGTTATTGTTTTTGAATTTTATTGTTAAATTTGTTTTTAATTTTCAACAATATATTAAGTTTTTGTGTATTTTTGGCGTATAAGTCTTTTAATACAAAAGGTAAAGATAATGAACTTGAATAACAAGGTATTCCTAAAGAAATTAGACAACGAAAAAAATCTAACATGAATCTAATATTTGTTCTACTTTTTTCAAAGGTGGTGAAAGCGTCCCTAAGTCACCAAGTGGCAGGACACTCATTAGTGCGTTTTGGTTATTCTCCATTGTTTTGGTTGGGACTTATAGTGGGAATCTAATTGCTTTCCTTACCGTGCCCCTTGATAAACCTCCTTTTAATTCCCTGGATGAAATGATTGTCCAGTCAGAATACAAATGGGGTACCATAGGAGGAACATTCTTCGTTACTTGGTTCAATGTAAGTTTGAATACAGGTTAAAGGAATTCAGTTCTAAAACAAGTTTTTTTTTTACACGTTTGGAACAGATATATAATCCAATGTTATTGTAATTATAAAATAAGAAGATATTTTTTTCATATATATTTGACAGTAAACTGAGATATTGTTTTAAAAATGTCAATATAGATACCGCTGTAATAGATCTTTCCTTGCAGACATCAACGGTTGAGACTCTACAAGCTGTATGGGCAGGGATTAAAAGATTCAACGAGACTGATCCCGAAGTCTTAAGTCCTGATCCCAATGTTCATATTGCCAAAATGTACAGAGAAAAATATGTGTACTTTGGCGATAAAGTCTACATGGATATCCGAAAATCAAACAGATGTGCGCTAATGACAGCAGAGGAGGAAATTCCCAACAACTATTATGCAGTAGGACTTCCAAATAATTCTCTCTACACCAAAATATTTTCGGATCAGTAAGTTTGTATTCAATTTGAATTATTTGCTGCTATCAGACATACTTTTATCGAAAACTCTCTTCATATTGTTTCCGGACTTTATTTTGTTTTTCATTATAATTTGTTTCAACACAAGATGGTCAGTTCTTTGGATACTGTGTTCCACAAACATTCGTGTATTCCCTGGTTATACATGTATTTGGTTTAGTGGCTTAGTTAGACAGATTTTCCCGTGATTTCCCGATCATGACAAGGAGCACACGGCGGGTGTGACCGGTGGGCAGGGGATGCTGACCCCTCCACGGCACCTGATCCCACCTCCAATATTTGGAGGGCCGTGTTTGCTCTGCTCTTATTTTGTATTGTTTCATGGACTTTTGATCTTGACTACTGTTCGATATCTCCAAATGTTTCATTCTAACAAGGTATGATAATCATTTAATAAAAAGTGAAAGAAAACAATATAATAGAATCCATTTTACCATGTAAATGTCATGTAAGACATATATAAAATGAATAATAAACTTATAAGTTAAATGATAATGATAATAATATCATTTTATTCCTTAGAATCATATCACTTCAAGAAGGAGGGATCATGCAAACCTTTAAGGTGAAACACTGGCCGAAGTCTATTTTTTGCTTCGCACCCTCGGGACTTCAGTCTCGTCCAATATCGTTGATAGACCTCCAAGCTGCTTTTTATCTCACGGGTATAGGTATTGCAATGGGATTTCTTGTTCTGAAATTGGAGTTTATACTTAGCTGGTTTACAAGGAAATGCTGTCATCAAAACCATGAAAAATGTGTTCACTTGAGAACTATTCCGACGAATAAGGACACGTTGGATACAGTTACAGTAGAACACATCGTGCCTGACCCAGTGTCAGAAATGGAGGACGAAAAAGAAAATATAACATTTTGTCATTTTATCAAGATGTGATATATGAATAACAAAAAAAACATATATGCCTCACCAAAGCCATTTTCTGGCTTTCAAGCTTCCCACAGAGAAGATTTTTTAAAAAAGAATTCATTATTGATACCCATTGAGTTTGTGTTCTGTTAAACACTAATGAAAACACAAGACTGGAATTTGAGTGGGCTATTATTGATGAACAGATGACAAAGCAATTGAAATATCCCAGTACATAGAATTATTGTTAATACGAAACACAATTACACATATTATGTTATATAAACAAAACATGTAGCAAAATCTATAATAAAATCTAAGATTACTTGTGCTACAAAGTGTACAAGTGTCAAAGATGGGGCGTAGGCTGTTCTCCGTCTTTAAAAAAAGCAACAAGGAGTTCTTGAACAAGTATGACAAGCTATTTTTAACAGTTAATATTTGCAGGCCGCAGAATCATGAAACAGATGTACACTTAGTGTGACCAAATAATTACATATATTTTAATTCATATATTTATTTAGGCGAATACCGTGCTCACTTTTGTAAACTTATTTCTTATTCGATTATTTGAATTAAGTGAGTATGATTCTAACATTTGGTAAAGGTTTTTGTCGAACACTCTTTTGTTATCTTATCCCTGATTGGCGTATTTTTTAAAATCAACTCAATCCACTTGCGCAGTAGATCTGGGTATAAATACTCATGTTCGATTGAAATTACTTGTCCCGCCAACCAGTTTTCAAGGTCACAACTCCTCGAGGCTGTGCTGTCGATATAGGTATTTGCTTTTGTAATACTTTTCTTTTTCATAACTTGTTATTTTTCATTCTATTTGAAGTTATAATTTATGTATATTCTTTTATAGACACATGCCATTGCCGTTTATTGCTGTTGAATAAACTGAAGATTTAAACGTGACCTCGTTTTGTTCTGCACGGTCACATTAGGTCAAATTTATAATTGCCTGTAAAATGTTTATTTATTATTGAACGAATCTCTAATTTTTCTGATAACAACACTTTTGTAAAGTAATATTATAAAATATTTTAAATTCTGTCTCCTTAGCTTTAAATACAAATTGTAATGTTTTGACTTAAGCTTAAGATGTTTCATGATCCTGAGGCAAGGACTGCAGGTGTCATAAGTTTTGTTGACTCTGCTTAAGCTGTAGAGGTAAACACATCGTACATTTGTGAGTCCTTTCCTGGGATTAGACATCTATTAGATATCTATTAATAAATTACAAATCAATAATGTGTATGTGAATGTACAAGTGATATTTACTTTTATACAAGACCGATTTTCTTGTGCATATATCTTCTATTTGCTTTTTATATGAAAGAACAATCCAGTTGAGCATATATTTTTTTTATTTTATAAATTAATATTGCTTTCAAAAGTACTTTGGATATATGAAACTATCTAAAAGCAAATGAATAGGTAATCAGTTTCTAGCATTGTTTCTAGACTATGAATTGTGGTATAACTTCTTATTCTTATAAAAAAGATGGTTGAACAAGGCATTTAAAATGCCTGTAACTTCAGATATATATATATATATATATATATATATATATATATATATATATATATATATATATATATATATATATATATATATATATAAAAATCATTATTGAGCAAATATGAATTTAGCTTTACTAGCAAACTTACAATGCGCATTGAAGTGGTAAAATTTTCTTGGAACGTTTTGATATCTTTAGTATATCAATGATTCAATCGAATACCTGCAGAACAGGTATTTCATAAATATAGTAGCCAATGAAATTGACGGTCTACATAAACACCGAGTAAGCACGTGTTCGACTGATACATATACTATGCTAACTCCAATAAACATGATAAAATCATTATTTTGTACAAATTCGTTGCAATGCGTGTTTTACCAAAGCAAGGACTCTATATATAGCTTTTTTCTTATTTAAAAATCTTCATTTCAGTGTAACTCATGTTGCAAGTCGCGGAAAGTGTAGTGTCCTAAAACATTACGACGAAAATTCCTTTCTCGTTTCTAAAGAAATGGGCGTGTCGTTATGTTATAATTGACGTTCAAAACATGACTCAGAACGTTTCATCCAAACGGAAAATTTTACCACTTCAATGCGCTTCATTGTAATGTTAAATGTTTTGCTGTTATGTTTAACGAGGTTCGCTCCTCAGCTTTTCAGCAGATTTTTATCTTGGCCTCTATTTAAAAATTCTGTATGATTTTTACGTTCTTAAAATAAATTTTGATTCTATAATGCTAATTAAACTATATTCAGTTTAGACGTCATGGTTAAATTCCATACAGAAAACATCTAGTAAGGAACTATATTTTGTGGCGGATTTTTTTTTCTTTTTTTTTTTTAGAAAAGGATCAATTTTTCCGCTTTCGAAGTATTCAGCATACTGGCTGCAAATAGAGTAATTTTGTGTAGTGAAATGTTCTAGCCTGGTCATAAACTATATATTGAATTAACTGTCATGAATTCTATCATCATATTTGAAAAATATATTAAAAACCCATGAAAGTTTATAAGGAAGGATATGGAGAAAAAGAACAGTATTCAATATCAAAGTCCATAAAACAATACAAAATAGGAGCAGAGCAAACACGGACCTCCAAAACATCAGAGGTAGGATTAGGTGCCATGGAAGAGTGAGCATCCCCTGCTGACCGGTCACACCGCAGTGTGCTCCTTGTCATGATCAGAAAATACAAAATCCGATTATTCAATGTATAAATAGTGGATTAACAATTTTCAAAAATTGTTAGTCCATATTTGACTTGAATTGATCGAATTTTCTTGTTATTTTCCGATCATGACAAGGAGCACACCGCGGGAACTTACGAAATGATGACTTAAAACGAGGAGACTGTTGATATTCTTGTTTCGTATAATTTACCTTATTTTAGAAATTGTTCATAGGTAGAGCATGATTTTGCGTATAGAATCAACTGAGATATATACATTGGTGTACAGGTGATGAAGGTATATTGCTGCATAAGTAAGAGAAGTTGACGATAGAAAAGTAAAAGTCATCACGTTTATCATATAGCTTGGTTGTTAGATTACCATTAACTTCTTTTCAAGTAAAATATCCAAGTATGAAACAGATGTGTCAGACTCTGCCGTATTTTTTTATCTCAAGCTCTCCTGAATATATCGTATGGCAAATGTCAGACAAGCATTCAAAATCATTGTTTATTTACAATAGATCTTTGATACATCTAAATGTCTAGTTGAAGGCCACAGCAAGTGTTTTTTTTTCTTTTCACGAATAAGATTTTGCACGAAAATACCCAATTTAAGCTTAAAATTAGCACTTTTTTAGTAATATATAAAAATCAACATTACAGACCCCCACTTTTAATTAGCTCACCTGAGCCAAAGGCTCAAGTGAGCTATTCTGATCAAAATTTGTCTGTTGTCTGTCGTCGTCGTCGTTGTTGTCGTCCTTGTCGTCGTTGTCACTTTTCACATTTTCATCTTCTTCTCAATAATTGTTTCAACCAAACTTGCTACAAAGTATCCTTGGGTAAAGGGGATTCCAGTTTGTTCAAATGAAGGACCACGCCCTTTTCCAAGGGGAGATAATTATGAATCACAGAAAAATTAATGGCATTTTTAAAAAAATCTTCTCAAGAACCACTGGGCCAGGAAAGATGAAACTCATGTGGAATCATCCTCAAGTAGTGTAGATTCAAGTTTGTTCAAATCATGACCCCCGGGGCTAGGGTGGGGCCAAAATGGCCGATCAAAGTTTTACATAGGAATATATAGTAAAAATCTTTTAAGAATCACCGGGCCAGGAAAAAAGAAACTCATGTGGAATCATTTTTAGTTTCAAGTTTGTTCAAATCATGACCCCCGGGACTAGGGTGGGGCCAAAACGGCTGATCAAAGTTTTACATAGGAATATATAGGAGAACCTTTTGAAATCCTCCTTTCAAGTAATTCAAATCCATGCTTAGTGATATTTATATGGAATCATTTTGTAAATTTTAGCTTGTTCAATATATAAAATTAACCCCCCCCCCCTACCAAACTCTGTAAACTTTCAGTTCTGATCTGATATGTGCTTTTTCCTAGCAAATTACTCAGGTGAGCGATATGGCCCCTGGGCCTCTTGTTTATTATATTTTGAATATTTAAGATAATTTTAACCACTCTGCTTAATTTGAGAAAAATGTCGTTACAATTTTATCGCATTCTTTTTTAGTTTAAAAAGGTTAAATAATTGATTATCCGAAGTATTTTGATACTATTTTTGTTGTTACATTTTTAAAGTGACTATCTAAGATGAAAGAAAACTAAGTTTGATCAAATAATTGATTTGGATAAAAAAATATCAAAGGAAAACTTTGAAAAATTGAATAACGTGTTAGACATAATTACAGTGCGAAAAAGTCATATTAATTGCATGCTCTGTAGTGCTAAAAGTTCCATACAGACCCCCATTTTTTGCTTTGATTTTTTATTTAGCTATGTGTATAGATTCTAAAAATATACTTTTCAAAAAATATTCAATACTTTTGATAACAGGAATCAAACTTCTTAAGAACAAAAGAATCATTGTAGGGAAGCATTCTTTCAATAAATATTTCTAATTTTAGAAATAAACTAATACTTAATTTTTTTTATAATTAAATATGACAATATGGAAAATACATACATATAGCATTATATTCATATATGTTAACACAAATACCTTCAAATTCAAAAAAAACATTGAACAAGATAAAAGCTTGATAAAATCTATGATATCAAATGATATCATGGTATCTATGATACGAAAACTTTTCAAGCCGACTGGAATTTCAAAATGGTATAAAAAATTTATTATATTCTCTGTTTCAAAATATTCCTCACAAAGTATTCACTGCAAATATTTTCGTGTCGCTTAACTGACCTAGTAATCAGCGCGTATTGCACCATCATATCATAAACATTGTGTATTAATATGACGTCACTAACTTTAAGGCATTACGTGTTTTAAAATAGAACGATGGATCAATCTTTATTGCAATATTTAAAAAAACGAAATGATAATAAAAATCCCTATATATAAATCATTCCTTCTGCATGGTCACTGGAAAATGGATTTATGTTCCTGGAAGGACGCCAGACGAAGGACTTGGAAAGATGGATTGGATGTACCACTGGATGACTTTGGCAAGGGTCCTGCAAAGAAGCTTAAT